TAAGGGATTATACAAGATCAGGCAGCCATCCTAACCCTCTCAATTACTCTGTGGCTGATGTTCAAATACAAAAACGTCCAAGGCTAGCCCTGCAATAATTAGTGCACCTTTATTAGTAGCTGTATTTCTATTCACAATTTCTATTAGGTACTACTCTGATCAGGTTAGGTTTGCGCTCCGTCTGCAAGGACGCTACCATTTTGCTTCCATTTGGAAAAACGAGCTAAAGACCCACTCGGTAAGAATAGATGTCAGATCAAGTGTACAGCATGAAAATCACAATCTCACATGAGAAACCTCAATTTTGCATACAAAATTGTATTCTCACGGTTCAAGTTGCAGTTACGTAATAAAGTTGCGACAAATTCAGACCCATTTTTTACTACTACAGCACTGTCGTTATTTGTTATCTAAAGTTATTGGTCCAGTAACAGCAAACCAAACGGCGTATTGAAATTTCATGTTTTCCGGTATTTAAAAATACTCCTTTTTTGTGCATGAGAAATGTCATATTTATTAAAATCCAGAAATGAAAACAGTTCCTGTGTAGTTTCTTCTAGATATATTTCGAGTCTCTATTTTCAGTACGAGTTCAATATATTTAACAGACAGCTGATCCCAAAGATAATTGCCTGACGTACAAACAACCTGGCCTTCAAGTTTAATTTACTATCCTATCCATAGTTATAAGATATTAGAATTTGTAAGAACGTGTTTCAGCTTGCATGTCAAGAATTTCATATCAAAATTTCAGATAACTGGAATATTGTGGATATACTGATAAACTTGTTATCTTTATCGCAAGACTTTTAGCCAAAGAAGTAAACAATATAAAATTTACCTAATTGTATGAATCAAGGTCCTAAAAAGTATCGGTTTTGAGAACAACAGACTGAAAAAGTTAGTACGATTTCGAGTATCTCCAGAGAGAAACAACATAATAGCGGCAGGAGCAAGGGTGACATGGTATTTATACATAGTCATACGTGTAGGTGTCCACGAGTTGCTGAAGAAAAACTAGCGTTGACGCTTGAACATTTAACGCTTGCCAACACGGCTGTAGACTGCAACTTCCAATAAATAGTGTTTTAAATACCTATAAAGTTGAAGTAGACCCCGGAAGTACCATAAAATCACACAAAAGTTTAGGAACACATTCGTGTAATGAATCACAACAAAAGTTAAATTACAACTACTAAAACGCTAACGCTTGATCCACCGAGTCCGCTATATTCACTTCATCCTCAGCTCAAACCTCAAAATCCAAAAAGGTTCACTAAGTTCTATAACCTGATCCTCTATTCAGTCAGTTCGTAGCTTGAAATCCTCAAGTCAAGTCATCGTTGGTTGTCAGAGCGGTCCGTGGGACCTTAGCTCTTGAGTCACAGTGTCAGTTTGTAAGTCTGTCAGGTCTGGTAACCCAGAAACCAGACAATTTTAAGGAAAAAAGGAGAAGGAAAGGAGAGAAGGAAGAACGAGAGCAAAGGGGAAGAAGAGAATCTTTTAGGACATGCAGCGTTTAGGCATTGTTAAAATCGCTTCACAGATTTTGATATGGTCTAAAAATATTTGATTTTTTCTAAAGATTGTGTAAAAATGCTCCAATTTTGGTTGTTCTAAGTTCACGAGTTAATTTTGATTACAGTGCGAGCCGCGGCCTTTTGTGCTTGCGAACTTGCTCGACTGTGTAGTCGCTTGAAATCCTCTTAGGTGGGTATTTCGTGTGTTACGCTAAACACACTTCAGGCGCTTTTCTGTTGAAATCCCTAGATTTATACAAATTTTTACTTCAATCAAAAGTACAAAAAAGACATTGTTTAACTACTGCATAATATTTTTCCCAAATTTTAATCAAATAGGAATATCATTCAACAAAATATGTAGTTGTACTATACTGTCTCTTTCACACGCAACATTTTCTACTTAACATCGCAAAATAAATTTCTATAAAATTTAAATAACTGTTTCGACTAGAGTTCAATGTATTAACCCTTTGCTAGGACCAACAATTCAGTCAATTTGCTTAGCGCCTGATGGTATTATGGCATCGCCACGATAATTACCGGTTGCTTTTATCAGCTGAAACAATAGCTCAGCTGATGGAACAGCAGATATAGTCACATGCACCTTATGGAAACAACAAAAATGTTGTTTTGCTGAATCTCAAAAAATAACGGAACGTTCATTTGAAGCTAACGATGCTATTAGAATTCGTTTTTTCAATATAATGGTATATCATAAATGCTCGCTGGTTTTCTGGAAAGACCATATTCTCCAAGATAAAAGCCAATGGTGTTGTCAGTCCGAATCTTGTCCGATTTATGTGATATGGCAATCCGGGCGATAGGGACTTATAAGTCGAATATTTTCATTAGGCAGGCATCATCAAGCCAATGCCAGTGTCGCCATGTCACACTACCGCTACCATACTGTATGAAATTTGGACGATCCTTTTTTATTTACTAGTACTCTCATTGAATATATCTATAATAGAAAATGAATGGGTTCATAGTAAAAATATAAACATCTCCGCAAAGGCTTAAGTTATACTAACGCACAATCACCAATTCTATATTCTTTGACGTCAACTGAGGTGAACTGCTGATCAGCAAGTGACATTTTTGTGTTAGTCTGCAACGTTGGCAATAATGAATCGGGTATAAATCTAGTAAAACTCGTTTGTGGCGTTTTGTTTTTGGTATGCAAATGAGCTTTTCTAAATAAAACAGCTGTTAGCAAGTACAAAATGAATCTGCAGCGTACAAAAAAAACAAAACAAATTACGGCTCTGTCTACCTAGCGTTAACGGATCCATCAGAGTTGTGTCCTATGCCGATATGGAGAATTTTGAGATATGACAAGATAACCAGCTGTCATTCTACCGTGTTGGATATTCGTGAAATAGGGTATAACGCTCTCATCATATTGTACTTTACCCTCTAGGTAGAAATATCCTAAGATTGTTGGTGGGGTTGATGTTTGTCTTGTTTATGAGTATCCATTATAGTAGAATAACAACTGATTATCTAGTAATATTTCAATATTCCCCATATCCACAAATGATAATTCTGACGGATCCCACAACGCCAGATAGAGCCGTATTTTGTTTTGGATTTTGGTACACGACAGATTCATTTTGTACTTGCTGACAAGTCTTTTATTTAGAAAAGTTCATCTGCATACAAGCACGTTTTTCTAGATTTACACCCAATTCATTATTCCCAACGTGACAGACTAATACAACGATGTTACTTGCTGATCAGCTGTTCACCTCAGTAGACGTCAAAACGTGACGGATATTCGTGAAATAGTCCCGACATGTTTATATACCTCCCTGTATCAGAGGTTCTCATACTCAAATAGCAGGCAGACGATACTACAGTGTATTCCCATTTACGCCCGATCAAAAAAAAACACCAGCGCGCGATATTAAATTTCCACGCTCCAACAAGCGAATTGTAGCGACAAAAACGTGCTAATGTTTGTTTTGACGCTGGGTAAATGAGGTTTGAATAGATTTTAGAGTCCATGACTTTGCATCATCAGTATGTTAAGGAGATGGGACCAAAGGTCATAACACGACTTCTCTAGAAAGGTGGGTCATTGTGTCTAACATATACAGGGTGTAAACGTTATGGTAGTTATTATTGAAATGGGTAAGAGGGAGGTCAAAACAAGTCAAGAAGTTCATATGACCCATGGTCCAGAAGTCAATAGATTTTTGTCTAAATGGCTTTATAGTTTACAACTTTAAGTGCTTTATATCGACCACAATAACCACAATCTTACTAATTTATATAAACGAATCTAAAACGTTTTTAAATTGAGTAATTAACAAATAAATGGCATTAAGTTTTTCTGAGTTAAGCCAAAATTTGTAGTCAGTAAGAAGGTAAGTTTCATTAAATTGCATATTTAAAACAAACATGACAACAGCGAGTCGGTCATCATCACTCTTATTGAATAAGCAACAGATCGCAAACGGTAAGAGTGGTTAGTATGTTGTTTTGTTTTTGTTCGCGCGCGTCGTCGTCTTCATTTACAGAATTCAAATCTTGCAGCTCAAATTTATCTCTACAGATTTCGCCAACGGGTACACCCAGACAGAAGGACATTTGTGCAAGTGTACCAAATACTTCGAGATACAGGAAGTGTTCAGCCCACTAATATTCGCACTCGTGAAAGACAGGTGACTGTAGAGCAGGAGGAGCAAATTTTAAATATCGTAGAAATCAATGCAGATATCAGCACTCAGGAATTAGGCCGCCGCGTAGGACTATCGCATACCATAGTCCATAGAATCCTACGGGAAAATTTGCTTTATCCCTACCATGTACAACGAGTGCAGGTCTTTGGTACCAGAAGACTATCCTCGCAGACTAACATTCTGTCAGTGGTTTTTGCACAAAAACATTGAAAATCCAGATTTTTTTAAAAACATTCTAGCGACCGACGAATGTCGTGATGAAGCTTGTGTGGAAAGTGGAGGATGACATTTTGAGCACCTTCTGTAAATACAAAAAAGTGCAGTGTGGGTTTTAAAAAGAAAAACGATGTATGTATCAAAATTGTGTTCCCTATTTATAAGTGGATTTTTTTAATATGTTCAATAAACTTTCACATACCAGGTGAAGCGTTGAGACAGTTAGTGGTAAGTCCGTTTTTTGTAATTGTTTGCATTTTACATTATCAAATGATGAAATAATACGGAAGAGCCAAAAATAACAAACTCAATCTTTATTTATCCTGCGTTCCGTCGTAATTTGCGTCTAGCTGTGCGGCGTTGTCAGATTTTATTTTACTTTAAAGTCATTTTTCTCAAAAAAATGCCATTTTGACCACCATGTTACATGAAACTTTTTGCTTCTTTTAACACCCTCTATCACCCATGTAAATAATGACTATCATAACGTTTACACCCTATATAAAGGCGCAATAGGGTGGAGCATTTTGGAATAAAGATGGACGGGTTTATTGATTGAAAATCTTGGATTTATAACTTATAATGTAACTTTACCTAGCATCATATTTGGTGAATGAATTCCTAAAACTGTAATCAGCTTATCAGCGCCATATACAAAAATGGCGCCCAGGAAAAAGCCGAATGCAACTGGAAGAAAAGCATATTCTCCATTTTCTCCATAGATTTTCGATTCAGTTGCCATTTCAATTGCGGGATTCAACAGTGACCAAAATGATGCAGCTGTCATCACGCCAGCTGCGAAACCTAAGCTGGCATCGAGGAGTTTTCTCTGCAACCAAAAAAAAAGCATATTGAAGTTAGTCTGTAAATGAATTAATTATATTTTAAGTGTGGCCAGGATAGATTTAGATCTAATTTGAGGACATGATGTCACATAATGTATCAACAAAAACATCCACATCTAACCATATAGCCTTCTGTTATCAAAATTATACGTATTATAGGTAACTCAACTTTTATTTTGGTCAACATCTTTCACTTAAAATGAGGTGAAATTGTTGGGTCGACTCAACAGATGTAAAATTTTGTCAATACATTTTCCAAGAAATTGTACAAATATTAGTTATTAGACCCATACTGCTATATTTAAGTAAAAGGTAGTGTAAAGTGTAAAAATCGAGTTCTAAATTCTGGACTTTTTCGAACTAAATAAAAAGTATTATTGTGGAAGAACAAAAGTGAATGGATATCTCAAAGTCACATGACTTTATAGAGTTATTTAAATGATTTCTAATCATAAAATGTTGTGTAGGCCTAAAATTAATGGCATTTCATCTTTAATTGTTGTAAATCAAAAAGTCATAACATATGATTTACCGCTTTTATAATCTACAAAAACAAATAAATGCTTTTTTCATAGTTTTCATAATTTATTTACATTATTCTGTCGAAGGGCTGTAGTACAGAATTTTATTTTATTTGAATATCATTTATTCCTATTGGAATTCACAGAAATAGCACAAAAGTAAATTTCTAATAAACCAACTTTAAAATCATATATTTTATATACATTTAATAATCACATTAAACAAAAATAATTTTATAAATAAACAAAAAACATCATGCTTTCTTATTATTATGGTAAGTTAAATGGAGAATATTTTGAATTTCATAAAAAAAAACTAAATCATCATATATAAAAGGGTAATAAGGCAGTACTTACAATATGCAGAGAATAAAAGCAGTATGTTTTGGAAACTACTGCTTTTTTACTTTGATGAATTGATTTACTGCATTTATGCTTAGGAAGTGTAATTCATATGAAATATTTGACAAAGTGTAAAAGTAACTAGTTATGTTGAATAATGTGATGAATTATATATTTTATAATTGTAATCATAAAATATATGTATTCGCGTCAAAACTCAAAAAAGTTAGTAAATGGATGCCTTTTGCCTAAGTACAGCAGCACAACTTTTGTCTTGATTCAGTTTTGTCAGTCAAGTAGTAGATATTTGTATTTTCTTTGGGTTAAGCTAATAGTACCTAATTGACCAGTAAATGACCTTATACCAGACTTTTTTTCAAATAAATCAATGAATAATTAAGTATCATATAGGTACTAAATAATCTTCTATCAAATAACAGGGTATGGATTATTTGTATTTCAACAGAATATTGAAATGAAGACATGTCAGGGAAAAAGTTATGATAATCTGCAGCATCCTTAAAAAACAGATATGAACAATCTAATCCAACAATTAAGAAATCAATTTTGTCTGGGTATAAATGAATCAAATACCCTATGATTCTGTAAAATGTAACAAACAACAATGATTAAAATCAGATGAAAAGTAACTTTCAAAATAAGTGGTTCAGATCAATAAATTCTAAAGAAACATTCTAAAAATTTTATGTGGATCAAAATTCTCCAATTGTGTGATGGTGAAAAAAATGTACATACTTTGTGTTCCTTTTTTTTTGTTGCCCTACATATCTAATATTCATCTAGCTCTTAACTTCAATCCAAAATAAGTTTCATAGCTGTAAGACTTTTACTTGGACTTCAGGTGGTTAGTAGATATTTAAGCTATAGGTATTTTGACAAAGTCAAGCAATATCTGCACAGTTTGAATTGAAATGACTGCTCCATCCGCATTATATGAACACAAATTACTTCACAAATTAAAAAATACTTAAAATAAGAAATTAATTTGCATTTCAAAGTATATGTTTGCTCTGTCCCAAGCTTTAAAAATAAAAATGTGTAGGTGCAATAACTGCATTTTTTAAGATGAACCATAAACTAGGTACAATAAATAGACTTTATGATTAGGCATATTATAAATCATTTGTAATCTATACCTATAATGTGCTTACAATTATATTCACCTAAAATTGTGAGTAAAACCTACTCAGGTCTCAGGTGGATACCTAACTGTACTTTTACATTCCTACAGTTTAGCCTCACAATAAATGAAAATATTGTATGATGCAACACTCATAATATATCCCAACCAGCCAACCACTTACTAGTTGTTGATAATTATAACATAAACTATTAAAATATTAACAGTATGTAAGCTTTTCAACTAATTGTCCTACCTCAACATTTTTGATGCAATTTAATGCATTATTATAAAATAATCTAATAATCATAGCAAACTGTGCCCTAAAAAAATTAAAACAAAATCTTAAACAATGCAAATTGTCATTCATTCGTTTATGAAAGGCACAACCACCCTCCCAGAATTTTATTCATAAGTATTTGTTTACAAAAATGTGAGGTTATGTCCTAACCTGGGAGCCCCTGATAACGATGACAAGAGCAGCTCCCGCAGCTGTCAGGCTCCAAGTGAAAAGGGTGCCCAAAAAGGCCTGCATCACTGGCCCATATCCTGGTAACATGTTTCTGTTTTTTTTCTTTCACCAACACTAACAAAACAAACCACAAGCAAGGTTCACGCGCACAGTGGAACTGCCATTTTACAGCGCGAACACTTTTAAATATAAATTCGTACGTGTCAACAAAAGACAAGCAAGTCTTATCACAGCCTGCGCAGCTAATTTGTTGTTTTTATTGATGGCATTGACATTCAAGTTCTTGACGAAGGTTCACTGGTTTCTAGTTTGCCCTCCAATGGTACAATACAATCAGCTGATCTGCACTCTTCATTTAAACAAATTTTTGTAGCGCGGCATGGGTAGGTAGATCTGCAATGGTATCAAATTACGTATCCTTATCACTGTTCAAGTTTACGAAACGTTTTTTCGAGATCCCAGATGTGTATCGCACTCACTCAATTCATGACAATCTTGAATTGTCCAGTAGGTACGATAATCCACTGATTATTTACTAAAGTCAACAAGGCAGAGTCGGGCTTTAAAATCCTAAACTCAGTTCAAATTTTATATCACACTTCATTCACTTTGAATCTGTCAGATTTTGTTGACAGGTCCTGATTTTTATGGACCGTAAATGGAAAAACCTATACGGTAGACGGTAGCGTATGGTAGTGCTATATTACAGTGGCGTGTTGGAACTGGTTCTAAATCTTTACTTTCATGTCATAAGTATGAACAGAGCCACAAACTGGCATATGACAGGAATCTCTATGTCTACGATTTAACTGCAGCCATTGAAAATATGAAGGCCTCAATTTTAGAAACCTATCACAGATCTGTGCCAAACCAAATTATGTGCCTGCACCAAAATGCTACATACGGCGCTGCAATTTGCAATGAGTCCTCAGAAGTCATAATATTCATTTACCATTTTATGCTATATTGTAAGCAGAATGTCCAGTTTTTGCATTGATACCGTATTGGATACGCCAATCAATGGTTTTTGTTACTTAGATGTCTCAAATCTGAAATTATGAACACCAATGAAAAGTAGAAATGATAGAGTGATTGAAATTTAGTTCCTCATTTCTTAGAACCTTATATCTTGCCTAAGCTATAATGTAATAAGATAAATTTATAAATAATAATTCTGAGCACTTAAGTATGAATTAATTTATATGGCGCCATCTATACGACTAATATAATAGCTTGAACAATTTCAGAGAACACATGTGGAAGAAATCAACTTTAACCAGGCATACATATCGTTTAGAATGCTTTATCAAGTGAATAATAGATGTTAGGCGCGTCTAAAAACCAGGCAACCACGCCTACAGTTCATTGTACTTCGGGTTGCACCAGGAAAAATACAACTCGAGAAGATGATATTTTAAGACGTTTCTTCTACCACGAATACGGTAGTTTCTAACTTTGTGCTTTCGGAAAGCCTGATATAGGTTACTAAACTTTTTTGTAAAATCATTTTAGGTTACAAGTATTTATTCCGACTATGTACAGGTGTTGAATACATTGATATCAAGAATTCAAATTATTAAAAAGCGCGTCAAATAAGTTGCAAAGGTTTCCCTGGCTGCTTGGGTTCCTCTGGCGGCAAATTTGTTACGCCAAATTTGGCCCCACAACAGTTATTCAGAATTTATTCACGATGATATTGGGATCTAGCGTCCGAAATTATCTAATTGCAGATACCTAGTTTTCTCCGCATGTAAACATTGATAACGAACATGGGTTTTTAACGCCTCACTCATATAGCTTTGCGATGTTTCACTAAATAATAGAGTGTATGTACATGATAAATTGATCTTAGATTCAGAATTATTTCGGATCTGGTTTCAGCATCCCAAAATACGTTGAGCAGCGGTTATTTGTGCCGCAACTATTAGAGCATTTTAGTTTTTACCATGTATGGTATTAAGCGGCATTTACATTTACGAGTACTCGGATCCGAGCAACTCTGATAAACACTACGAATAGAATTGTGAATGTTTAGATTTGTATGAGCAGCTCGTATAGTTTGGAAATTTTAAAAATGGCTCCCTCCAAGAATAAACGAGCTGCTGTCGCGTTAATATTATTAAATATTCTAAAAAAAGAAGAGAAAAGAAAAAGGTTACACAGAATAGAAGCATCTGGGTGGAACCACATTTACAAGAGCGTCACAGAGTGGGTATTGAGCAAACTTTGCTCACTGATCTACTAGCACAAGACGGAAACGATTTTAAAAACTTTATACGCATGGATTATGACACGTTTATGATGTTACATGACAAGGTAAGTTTAGTACTTTGTTATAAAATAGCTTTTAATGATTATTTTAAAATTAATTTTAAGGTTCGTTTAGACATCGAAAAACAAGATACTTACCTGCGAAGTTCTATAAGTTCTGAGTTACGTCTTGCAATGACATTAAGATTCCTTGCAACTGGGGATAGCTACAGGTCCTTAGAATACTTAACAAGAGTATCAGGCTTCTACAATTAGTTTACTTGTCCCTCATGTATGTCAAGCTGTCTACTCACACTTGCAGCCAGAATATATGAAGGTATGTACAAAATTAAATTCTTATAATAATATTTAAAAACTTCTTTTGTTAGTAGTAATTTTATTAAGGTTTCTACAAAAATATTAAATATCTGTGTCTTCACTAGACTGGTCAATAATCAGAGCACCACGCATTGCTAGAAAAATGGTATTTGAATCATTAGTTCTTTTATTTATGTTAGAACATTCACTGTATGATTCTGAGTGATAAGAATTAACAGAAGATGGTGTGGGAATATTATAGTCATCTGGGGAAAATGGAGATGTCATACGTGCAGTTAATCCTGGGTTGCAAGTATTTATCGAAACTGGCGAAGTTTTATGGCGGTTAATTACTCGTAATCTGGTTTGCGTTATAAGTTGCTCAATTTCTAATTGCAGTTTTACTGCAGCTTCGAAAGGAAATTGTTTTAGCTGCGCTGCTATGTTCTCCCCAAACTTGTCAAATTCTGTTGATTCCTCCTTACATATCGCGCTCAAACTACTATCACATTCTTTATTTGTTGATCTTTTGACCTGCAAGTTAAAAAAGAATATTTTTTAGGTACCTTGCACTGAAGATGACTGGAAAAAGATTGCCGACGAATTTAGAAACAAATGGAACTTTCCCAACGCTATTGGTGCTATAGACGGAAAACATATTGAAATAGAAGCTCCCCCAAACGCAGGATCTTATTACTTTAATTATAAAGGCACACATAGTATCGTCCTTTTAGCTTTGGCAGATGCAGAATGTAATTTTTTATATATAGATGTTGGGTGCAATGGACGCATGTCGGATGGAGGTATATTCAAAAATTCTACCTTATATAGAGAACTATATGAAGACCTGTTAAATATACCATCTGATGAGCACCTTCCAAATCGCGTCAAACCCGTACCTTATGTTATTTTAGGAGACGACGCGTTTGCTCTTTCAAAAAATTTGCTAAAACCGTTTCCTAGGAGCAAGTTTCTTAGTGCAAAACAAAAAGTTTTTAATTATCGACTTTGTCGTGCTCGTCGAGTAGTGGAAAACGCATTCGGAATCTTAGCATCACGCTTTCGCGTATTTAGGAAACCAATTTGTTTAAAAGTCGAAAATATTGACAAAATTGTCTTATGTGAATTTAGGCATATGTTGACTTTATATAGAATGTTATTCTATTTTCACTAATATACTACTGAAAATTCAAAGAATCAGTTGTTTTAATATTTAATACTTACATATTGTTTTGTAATTGGAGTACACATTGTTTTCCTTGATGTTGTAACGTCATCCAAAAAGGCCATACTACTAAACCAAAATAAGCTTGGAATATAAATATCCTCTGCGCCTGAGCCTATAAACAAAATATCTTTTTAATATACAGTGATATAATATATATATATACAATGATATAAACATAGCCTATGTTTAAAACCTTTAAATTAATTAAAATCACGAAAACGTATAATAGTACTGAACTACAATATTATTTTACATACCTGTACTTTTTGGTAACTCAACTTTTTTCTTTTTCTGCAAATACGTCGATCGAATGTTGTTTATTTTCTTCTCCACGTTTTCTATTGAAATATTCATAATATCGGCAATAGCTTCATACGCGCTGTTCCTTTTGTTGATGTCTCTATAATCTGTACATTTAATGTTCCATAAACACTCGAATGATCTATAAAGATCAATAAATTGTTCCATTTGCTCGCTGGAAAACTTTAGTTCCGCCATTTTATATTATCGAGAAACAGGTGCTATCGTACAACAAGTCGGATTGTATTCTACTTCGATCCGGGCTCGGATCGAAGTCGCTACGAGCTCCAAGTAACCGTTTACATTTCCGAAATTTAGTCCGAGAAGCGAAACTCGGATCCGAGTACTCGTAAATGTAAATGCCGCTTTACGATACCAAAACGGTCAAGAGAATGTGTCACTCTAGAACGTAAGTCCAACCAACCTTATAATTGAACCACTGACACCGAATACGGAGTCCATTTAGTCCGTCAATGTCCTGCTTTTGAGATTTCGGAGAAAATTCAAGTTATTCAAAAACGTAACGTATGGATTCTCAAAAATTCTTGCGCATCTGGGATCTGAGTGAACGCTCCTGGGTGAATCAGGTGCGTGGATTCCGATTCATCACCATATTCGAATTCAGCTTTCCAAATTACCTAATTGAATCAAGAGTCGGGAGAATACAACCGTCGATAACGAAAATTGATTTTCATCAACCCAAAGCCACATATTTTTGCGATCTTTTACGAAACCTGCTACGTTAAGGATGGCTTCAGATCCAGTTTGAGAGTCCCAAAATATGACGGTAGTGGTGACTTGAATCGCTTTTCATGCATTTTAATTGCGCTTCAAGATATATTACGTTACAAAAACTCGTCAAGTAGTACAAGATAAACGCTTTGGGGAAAAAATAAGTTACTAACATGTACAATAGAGAATCTGGCAACGTTGCCCTTTCCCATATGGTCAGACGCGGAGGTGCCCACCGAAGAACTGCACCAGTATGAGCAGAATGATCAAGTAGACCGTTACGCCGGGCACTGAGCCCAGATAGCTGAAGGAGATGCGTATCGAAAACATTACTCTATCATTCTAAGTTTTAAAGACAAATGTACGGTGAAACCTATGATTTGTGGATGTGTGAAATATGGCTGATATGTGCGTAGAATTCCTGCAGCCTCTCTTGACAGCCAACAGGTGTTGAGTACGCGTCAGCAAGTCGTGTCTGCCACGAGGTCTGTTGTAGATGGACTGTGAGATGGTGATGGAATGATTCCATTAACAATATGCCTGAACTATTTTTTTTTTTATATCGAAACAGCCGCGCAGGCAGAAGCCTAAATTCCGGAACACCGCGGCTGCTATGATGATCCCAAAGAAATTTTGTTAATACGATTTTTGAACTGCCTAAGATTAGTAGAACTGGGAAAAACTTCCTCCCGTAGATTGTTCCACAATCTAGACACCCTCGGGACAAAGGAGCGGTCGTATCGGCCAGTTCTGGATGTACGAAGTTTGACACGGTTAGGATGGGACGCCGAAGTCAGGCGGGTTTGTCTGGCAGGCACATCGCGCAGCGGCATCATGGAAGAGAGCTCTGAGGAGCAAAGCCCGTTGGTGTAGCGATAGAAAAGAG